GAACTTTTATTACATCCAGTGAACGTACGCTCCTCTACGTTCGGTTTTAGACCAAAACAGCGCAATACCGAGTACCGAGTACCGAGTTGTACCGAGTTTTTTCAAAAAACTCGGTATTGCGCTGTTTTGATCTAAAACCGAACGCAGAGGAGCGTACGGGATAAAATAAAAGTTCCCGCTTAACAGGGCTGAAGAATGAAGTGAATCATCCCAAGTACCGTGGAAAATCCCCGGGCCGTATTTCAGAAATGTGAATGAGACGTGCGTGTGGAGCCTCAACGAATCTCAAGATTAATAGGCCGTAACTTAACATAAATTCACTTAGCCTCAACGAAGGTTAACAGTAAGGGGCTTACATTACAGCAGCTCATTTTTTTCCTATTTCTCAAAAATTTTTAATGTATTCGTGTCGCATCTGTGTCATCGTATCTTTGCATGTCATCATAATTGATGGGCCAACTTCTAAAACTATTTTTTGCTCTAAAAAGCGACTTTCGAAAGCAGTTTTATTAAACAAAGTGGAAAATGAGTAATCAATAAACAGATGTATGATAATAATTTGAAAAACAAATCAGAGAAAACCATCCCAATTCAAACCCTCAATCATACTTTTCAAAGTTCATAACATCAAAATTGAAGGAAAAATAGTGATTCTCACCTTAGGGGCTGTTTGGTAGCAAGATTTAGGCTGGATTTGAACGAAATTCAGCCAAATAGACTAAAATGCAAAATCAAATCTCACAGAAAATAAAAGCCACAGTAGAAGAAAAATTACCGCTTTTGTGCTCAATTCTGGATTTCTGAAATCCTTTGATTCAATGGATTTAATGCTTTATTGATGGGAGAGCAATGAAGAGTCCACTCTTTTCAGTATTTAACTACTCTACAGCTAATTCGTCTCTTTTCCTCCGCTACGGCTTTCTTTCAGTTCAGTAACCAAATTCCAAAGCTAGATCCTGGATAAAAAGGTTTTGTCGCGGCCCGGTGCGAGCGGGATCCGTCCCGAATCGGGTCGGGTCGTGACATCTAGGGTGAGGGATGTTGATGTGTCTATTGAGTTGGAGACTGCTGGGCATGTCTCGGGGAATGTTGTTGGTCTGGAGGGGGACCTTTCTAATATTGTCCCTGCTTCGGGTGTCGTGGTTGGGTTGGAACCTGGTTCCCTGCTCCTCGATTGATTGATGATGAAATATGAGATTTAAATTGTGGTACTAATCTTAAAGCTAGTTTGTCTGGTGTGGATGCTCTGGCTGAGCCGAGAGAAATGTCCTTGGAGGTTAATTCTGGGTAGGTCATGCATTCTGGCCCTGTTTCTCCTTGCCTAGAGTTGGTGGGTTGTGGTGTTTCCTCTCTATTTATTTCGGTGGATCGGGATGCTATGTCTTCCCCAGTTAATTTAGAATCCCCAGCAATGATACAAAATGCTTCGGTTAATGTCCTATCTCAAGCTTGTCCTACTACTAAGTCGAAGGGTGTTACTATTTTTATTAATGTTCCTATCTGTGTGATGTCTAATAATGAATTAAAGACTCATGTGGCTAAGTCTGGGAATAACTATATTTGGCTTCAAACGGATTGGCTGGTTTTGAATGATTTTTCTTCTTTTCATTCTGGGGGGGGAGGATGTGGAGTTTGATGAAAAGGATTTGACTTCTCGTATTGTTGATCAAGTTCGTCCCAATGTTGGTGGTAAAAAGGGTAAAAGTAAAGGCAAAAAGAATTAGGCTTTCGCTTCTCTTTTTATTGTTACGATTGTGGTTTTTTACAAGCTTTTTGGACTATAATGATGAAGCCCCTAGCTTCCCTCTTGTTGGCTCGCCTGGTTGGCAACCTGGGTGCTTTGGTTGTTTTATTAGAACTTATGGTTGTGTTGGTGTTTAGTAGCTGTTACCCATGAATGGTCCCTGGCTTGCCCGAGATTGGTGCTGGGGGCTTCTCTTGAGTCTATTTTAGTTTTTCTCACCTCTAGTTGGTTTTGTATCGTTCTAGCTGTCCTTTTGTGGTTTTGTTATTGGTTGTGTTGGCTGTTGGCCGCTTTGTGTTGTATTCCCTTTCTTTTATGAAATATAATGTGTTTTTTGTTTAAAAAAAAATCTACTCTACAGCCAAACAGTCACACGTGATTTAGCAGGATTTATCATGAATGATGCCAAACAATTTTCAAGATTTAGGCTGCTAAGATTTTGTAAATCTGAATTTAAAAGATTTACGAAAGCCTACTTAAATGAAATCCTTGGTGCTACCAAACAACACTGAGTGAAAAAATAAGCCAAACTATCTATTCAAGTAAAGAGTTCCCATGCTGGATCAGTATCTGCCTCTCTAAACCATAAACAATAAGAACAAGCTAAAAAGTTTAAGAACTACATAAAATAATAACATCTCTAAGGCTTCATTTGAGACAGCTTTCTTACTCTTTTCTAAAATGGCTTTCTTATATAAATATTTCTACTTCAAAAAAATTTTATACTAAAAAACTACTTTAGAAAATAATTTAAAAAAAAAACTATCCCAAACGAAACCTAAATCTCATTTGCTCTTCAATACAAAACTGTGAAAGATATAATTTTATTATTTGTTATTAGAAAAAAGTTTTACAACATAGATGCTGAGAATAAGTGAATGAATAATTTTTTAAAATTGAATGCATTTACATATGCCAAGTGATGGTTTTCTGATATCACAGCAAAAAACTCGGCCAAATTATATAAATAGGCTAAGACTTACATCAAAAACACTAGCAAAATGAATGGCTTTGTTACTAAAGCTAATCTGACAATACAGGCACCTACTTTTTCCCATTTAAGCTTCAATTCTCTCCATCTTGAATGCTTTTTACACCATCATCACTCGCACTCTGCACATAATGGCCATTGCAATTTTCTTCTTCCAGATACTCAGATTCAGATGGTGTAAGATCATTCTTTGCGCCGCCATCGAGGTCATTTTGGCAAAGAAAGCTTGGCTGGTTGGTGGAAGAGAGCAATCTTGCCCACATTCTGTCTGTGATTACAACCTTATTCTGTGTTTCAGTAACTCTCTGCAAAAGCAGATTTGGTTATACAAACATTGTGGTATTGACATATTTCAAGAAATTCCAGTTCTAGCAATACAGATTATCAAACTGTGCAAATGGTTTATCTTAATAAATTACCCTAAACCTTATGGACATCTAAGATTTCGATTGGGATGACTTTTTTACTGCTTCTTAAAGCAGCTTTTTAATACAAAAATAAAAAATTTTGTGCTAGAAAGCTGTTTTAATAAGCAATGAAACAACCGTACCAAACGAAGCCTAAGAAGACTCAAAATGAAAATTTTCTTTATGAGCACCAGTAATATAGTACCAAAGAGATCAGTAGAACTTACATAGAAGGGTATATAGGCATGCCTCCCATTAACAGGCCCAACAGTGAAACCTGTGTAACCTGCCATGGCACCATGGATGGCACTATGAGCCAGCAAAGTGCAGTACACATTATCAGAAGCATTACTGGGAACTGCACGAATCATATAGGTTGGATCTGCAAAATCAACAAGCGAGGCTTTCATATCTTACAGAGAATTGAATATAATGAAGCTTAAGGCTTCGTTTGAAACGGCTTTCTTATTGTTTTGTAAAACAGTTTTTTAGTACAAAAAATAAAAGCCATGTAATTTAGTACTAAAAATTTTATACTAAAAAACTGCTTTCAAAAGCAGTAAAAAAGCCGTCCTAAATGAAACTTAAGCTTAATTATGCAACTTACCTATATATTTAAGATTTATTGTCGTCTTCTTCTTTTTGCTTGAGAAGTGATCCTGTAAAACGCAGAAAAATCATTATAAAATTAATTGCACAGTAAAACAAATTTCTCAGACATCTTTATGTGATTTTGAAGCCATGTAGAAACAAACCTTTATTTTCTGAGATAACCATAGGCCAACATCAAGGAGTAATTTATTTCCAGAAGCATCTTCCAGATCCATGGACCTCATGCTCTCAGCAATATTCTCTTGTCCTGCTCCCTCAGCCACAACAAGAACCATATGGCCGTTCTCTTTGAGTCTCTTATCCACAAAGTCGAAAAGTCCACCTTTTCCTTCCAGATAAAAGGGTGATTCAGGAATCAAGCAACAATCCTGGAGGCAAGAACAAAATTGAAACAAATGGATAATGTGAAAAAATATGTATAGCGAAATTCAAGGAGCTTGATAAGAATGTCAGACTAGAAACAAGGAAATAAAATGCAACATACCACATCTCTGCTAGCAAGAGTTGCATGCATTGCGATGAACCCTACAACAAAAATGATTCAAGTTCAAGTTTAGGATTGATTAAAAACAATATTGAAACTTGTGCTGAATTGTTTAAGAATTAGCAACTCTAAGAGCAGTATTTTAATATTATCACATTTTGCAAATATATCATCTATATTTCCACATTTTCTTTCTTCAACTAAGCGACATCTAATGTAAAGAAAATTCCTAATGTTGAGCTTTTAAGGCAAAGCAAACAATACAATTGTAGAAATTTAGGCTTTGTTTGGGACGGCTTTCTAACTGTTTCTTAAAGCAGTATTCTTGTAAAAAACAATATATTTTTTTCTACTAGAAAGCTGCTTTAAGAAGCAGTAAGAAAGCTGTCCGAAATGAAGCCTTACATTAATGCAAGTACTTTACAGTTTATGCTAATTTGTGGCCAACTAAACTGCTATTGAAAAGATCAACATCATCACCATTAGCAATATTTCAACTATTTGGGACCAATTTTATGACTTTTTAATTCCATTCATTAATATTAAGTACTCAATGAGAAAAATGATTTATGTTGTCAACCTCACGTAGTGGGATAAAAGTTTGATGTTGTTGTTGTTGTCGTTGTTGTTGTTGTTATAATATTAAATACTACATGAGATGTTGAGCCTATTCTTCACAAATCATTTTGAACTTCTACTCATGATATCTTTGATCTACTACTTCTTTTTAATCCTCTGACATTAATTTTAACTACTTGTCTAATTGGTCAATTTTCTTCTTTTTGTTAAACATGTTCAAACAAAGCAAGTTCATTTTTTATCACCTTATCTTTAATACATGTCACTTCAACTATCCATTTAATATAATAATTCTTTAAATTATTTTTCAAATTTTGTCACACATATAACTTAAAATTTTCATTTCTAACTTGTTTACTTAGCTATTAATGAGTTTTTATTGCTCAAGATTTGGATACATACCACATAATTGTCCTAATTGTACTTTATAAAATTTACTTATATGGCTCCTTAATATTCACTTATTATATAATACTCATGAGGCAATTTTCTATTACCATTCAACCATCTCTAAAAGATATATCCTCATCTTCATACCTATTCATGCGAATAATAGATTCAATATAATTAACCCTATCATATATAGATGTGATTTTTTTATAATAATATTGCTTAATAATAATATAATATTGTTGATTATATAATACAAAATATTCTCTTATCATGTGAAGTAAGCCGGTTGCACTCTTCTTAGCTTTTGTTTGGGACGGCTTTCTTACTACTAAAACAGTTTTCTAGTACAAAAATTAAAAATTTTATACTAGAAAGCTGCTTTAAGAAACAGTAAGAAAACCATCCCAAATGAAACCTTAATAGATACACCGCTACTAGAAACTCAAAGAGAGTGTTCATTCAAGAATTAATAGATATAACATGGTGACCTGACAAAAGTGAATTCAATAACTAAAGTTTCCATCCATAGTAGAACATATCATTATATTTTAATTGTGAGCTGGTCTAAACTATTAATCATTTAGAAATGCTTTGTATTAAAATCAGTAATAGGAACTAACCACTATAGCGACCCATTAGCTTCACAACACCTATACCATTCTCAATACTCTCAGCCTCCACATGTGCAGCATTGATAGCCCGTTGAGCCTCTTCAACAGCAGTATCAAAACCAAATGATTTATCAATAACCTAAATTTAGTAAGTGAAATCAGTGAGTACAGAATAATCCAGTTAGTCAATCAACAATTGAAATTTGTGTAGGAAACCTACCGCAATGTCATTATCAATTGTCTTGGGAATGCCAACAACAGCAACTTTGAGACCGCGCCTTCTGATCTCCTGCAAAATGTTACTCAAGCTTTAATTGAACTTAATATTGCAGTTTTACTATCTTGAACCAGAAAATATCTTCAACAAAAGCTTGAGGAAACCATTAATACCTAATATTTTCTCTATAGAAGTTTCACATCAACAAAAGCTAATAGCAGCATTTGAAGAGAAATTCTATGAACTTGATTGTGTGGGAAGATCAAGAAAGAAAGAGATAGATCATCTATGATTACCTCAAATATCACAGATGCCCCTTTCTGTGTACCATCTCCTCCAATAATATACACCTATAAAAAACAAACAAACAGTCAAATAATTGATTAAAAGTGAACAGAATAGGTTGGTATTCTTTAAAGAACATAGAATATAATAGCATCATAATGTTATCCACTCCACCTGATTGATCCCACGGTCCTGAATGCTATCAACTATCTTTGAAGTGTTATGGCCTCCTCTTGATGTCCCTAGGATGGTGCCTCCCCTCTTGTGAACATCATTGACACTTTTGGGCGTCAAAGGAACAGTATTGCGAGCATAGAAACCCTTGTATCCACCCTGCAAATGCAATTTCCCTCTCAATATATGTGAATAACAAAATGAAATGAGAAGTCTAATAAAGAGATCTACTCTAGTGTTCCACAAAGAGTAAAAAATAAAAGATTTCCATAAAAAAACATAGAAGCAAACTTGAAATATCAAGCCCACATCAACATGACAAGCAAACTGATTTCATTAAGATGGAAAATGTGTTACATTTCTTTTTTCTCTTTTTTTTTCTTTTTATGGAAAATGTGTTACATATGACTGTATGATAAGCAGTGATATCATTACCTCTATCCCAAGGATTTTGGTAACCCCGTACATATGAGACAAACCACAAACTATTTCTCTTATCACTGTGTTGAGTCCTGGGCAGAGGCCACCACAAGTCACAATACAAGCATGCACTTCATCTGACTCAAAGTAAACCTAAATAGGACACAGAACAGAATCTTCATCAGTTTGTAAACCATATGACAGCAGGCTATGGTATGTGAAAGATGACTTACCCTTTGACGTGGCCCGGCACGTCGAAAATGGGTTCCTCTAGGACTGCTCTTGTGTACAACAATCTACAAAAATTTTAATTTCAAGAGAATCTATATTAGTACCCAAAGTTATCATGAAGTAGTTCGCAAACTCGCATTCTTTGCATCCACAGAACTTTGAAAATCTAAACCAAACATAATAATATGCCCTCAAAATGCATTAAAACTTCAGTGGAGGCTACTAAATTCACCTTTTGTGCGACGGTATCACCCTCATTAACAAAATATTGCCTGGAAATAAAAAAAAATAACATTTTTCACACAAAAATTTTGTTTACAGAAACATGTACAAATTGAAATTAGAGGAATATAACATACTTGACAACTGAATAAGCTGGATTATCCTGGAGAGGATTTGGATATGTCTGCAAAGATAGAAGGCATAAATGAGATACATAACATATCGCCAATATATGTAAACTATAATCATAAACTAGAAAAGGTAAGCTCAAAGTATCAGTTAGCATGATCATGAGTTATTTAGCACAAGAAAAATGATAATAGCTTTTCCTATATCAGTTCCTTATATTAACAACAATACACCAATTATAGACATGGCAATGAAGAAGCGCAAAGTACATAATATAGATATAACCGACTGAAAAGCAACCCATTTGTTACTTCAGAAATCCCAGATCAGAATGAGCACAAAATCATAATAAAAAGAACTTATTTCAGTTTCAAAAACCAAAATATCAACTCAAAACACTAACTGTTTGGGAGATTAGGCTATCAACCAAGAAGTCTTGCAAAATTTACATATTTGTGGGAGTTCAGTTTGCGCAAAAGCAAAAAAATACAAACAAAGAGAATGAAAAAAGTACTGTGCATGCATGTATACGGCCAATAATGATCAATAAACAGATACAGAACTCAAGAATTCAAATCAAAACCTGTAAACGACAAAATCAACCCGAATAACTAAAAAAAACCATAACGAACTCACAGGTAGACTGGGGATATAATCAACGAAGTGTGGCACATCCTCCAGAACATAACCAGCTTCCCCAAAGACTAACTTGGGTTCAGACTTCCCCTCAGGCGCCATTACCCCCTTATCACTGGACCTCAGCTCCCCGATGTTCCTCGTTATGGCCTTGACGGAAGAAAGCGAACTCCTGAGATCAAATATATGGTTCGAATTCTTCTGACTTTGTTTCGACTCCGCGCAAATTTTCTGGGTAAATGAAGAAGGATAAGAGAGGGAACCCATACAAAGCTCAGAAATTGAAAAACTCAGTTCGAATTCGTAAGAATGAAAGTAATTGCACATACAGCACCGGAAAGAACACATCTTTTATAGATGAAGAAGAGAAAAATAAGCGAGAAGAAGAACTTCGAGATCTTCTGCCTTCCGGGGTTTGAAGTTTGAACAAAAGCGGCGGCTTTGGTCTTCCCATGGCTCCCGTGGACTCTGAGGCCCACAGATTGCGACAGAAAAAGTAGAACTTGGGGCAAGGAGGAGGCGTGTCAGGAAGCTTCTCTTCCAGTTGTTCAAAGCTTGAAGCCCATTACAGGTGGTTGTGCTCGTGGTGGGTTGGTCTGCGCTGTCGGTGATATATTAGGTCATTGTAATTCAAGTGGAAGATGGAGGGCAAAATGGCATATTCAAAAAACAATAACTAACAGTTCTGTGGATTTAATAATAAATAAATATATTTATGCTATTTGAAAATATTTTAATTAATATTTTTTTTTGAGACAATTAGATTAATTAGTCAAACTCATACACAAGATTTGAACTCAAGAACTATTGATTAGTAGCCTAAGATCCAACTAACAGATCAAGATGATGTGTGTTTTAATTAATATTTTACTAATATTTAAATTAATGGATTTATTTTAAAAAATTTTATAGAAATTTAATTAAATTTTTATATATTATATTTACTTGAAAATAAATTAAATATTTTTTAAAAATTATTTCGATGAAAATTTACTTTGCATTTTCTAAAATGAAAGTTGGTGAAATTATTCTGTATGTATACGAATGCAGTTCGGAGCTGACTCAAAGGGCCACATCACTCCTTTGTTGTGTGTCGTGATTATATACCCGTTATATACCAGATGATAAAGCGCGTTGTAATTCACCTCAGGGCGGTCGGGTCCGCACATAACAATTTCTCTAAAAGTTGGGGCTCCTAAGTTGTTGGATAGGAATAGGTTGATGGGACCCACAAAGAAAATGGCTATTTGTCACGTGCATCATAAAATAAATGTTTTATCTTGACCGAATGGAGCATAGCTTTTTTTTTTGAAAAAGTTTGAAATCTACATTTAAATTATTTTTAGGGCTTATTTAATTGTTTGAAAGTAAAAAATATTTTTTTGAAAATAAAATTTTAATTTTTTTGTTATGAGTGATAAAATAAAATTATTATTTTGAAAGATTTTAAAGATATTTGAAGAATTCAAAACACATTAATGTTTAGTATATTTAATAAAATGATAGAATTCAAAATATTTCTCATTTTAAAGACATGTCATCTAAATTTCAAGCATTCCAATAAGCCCTAAGATTTTTCATTTACAACTTTAGCACATAGGAGAAACTCCTAAAAGACAAGATTAGTGTGGCTTAGTATAGCTAGGAGGAAAAATCTCATCAACTAACTTGATTTCTTGATTTATGTGCTGTCTCTTGCTTATAAAAAATATGAGCTTGATATTTAAGTATTAGACCTTAAAACCTTAATTTAGGGATGGATCAATAAGGTTGCAAAATTTATATCATCTTCTTATACATAACATGCCACAAGGTAAAATTTTGTAAGGTGGACTGACTTCGTGGTTTATATTCTTAGTGTCTCTGGAAGGGATTTAGACATTTTTTAATAAAGTTTCGCGGTCTTATTAGACTTGAATTTTGGCATGGTATAGAGCCTTGATTTAGAGCTAGCCTGAGAATGATGTGGAAATTGTAAAATATCTTTAGATATTAGGTAGTTTGGAGGAAAAATTTAACATTTACCTAACCTCTTAATTTGTGCACTTGGTGTCTCCGCCTTATTGAATGGGACTTTAGTTTTGGCAAGGCTTATAATCTTGATTTTAAGATTGCTTTAGGAGATAGAGCTTATACTACAAATTTAAGAGTGGCATGTGCATTAGCTTTATGTCCTTGTCTTATTTATAAAGTGGCCCAAGGCATTTTTTGTGGTTGTCTTGACTTGTAGAGTCTTTTTCTAATGTCTTCAACATTTGATTTTTTTTGCATTGATTTCTAGGTCAAATTAACCTATGGGGAAGCACATAGGTTTTTTTTTTTTTGGACATCATTATTCAAGGTGAGCTTGAAAATTTGGGGGCATGAATTGGACATAAGTTGGATTTAGGACTTTTTGTTATAGTTTTAAAGGGTTCACGGATTGATTTGATTTCTTCATGTGTTGGGACTCATAATCAAAATTTTGGTTAATCCCAATATTGATTTGATTCAAGAAATTTTCTTTTTGAAATTCTACTAGCCCAAACCTTAAATTGTGATAAAGATACTAAAAAGAAATTTACCAATGATGTTTAGCCAAAATAAGACTATTTATCATAATATTACTCAATGATATTAACCTGTGTGGAAGAGTCGGAGAAATCTGCCAAGGAGGTTTGATATATTTAATATTTCTTTTTCAAAGTATTGCTCGATGATGTTAATATATGTGGAAGATGTTTAGAGAGATCCACTAATAAAGTTTGGCCTATCATAGGTTATTAATCAAAGCGTTATTCTATGACATTAACTTTTGTGAAAGAGATCAAAGAAATCCACCAATGATGTTTGGCATATCTGAGATTGTTTGTCAAAGCATTACTCAATGATGTTAACTTGTGTGAAAGAGATCAAAAGAAATCCTCTAAATAAAATTTAACTATCCAAAATTTTATCATTAGATTATTGCTCAATGGCATTAATATGTGTAGAATAAGTCGAATCCAATTCTCTTGGGATGGATTATACATTCGTTGGGAGGCAGTGAATGTTATGTGCATTCCAAATTGAAGGTGAAAATTAATGTGTTTAAACCATTAGTGCCCTTTCAAGATCATGACCGTAAACTTGCTCAAGGAATAGAATTCCAACTAAATAATATATGTGGAGTTTGGAATTCACTGAGACTTTCTTAAAAAAAAAAATCTAATATGTAGCAAAAGTTTTAAGAAATATAATTGTTAATTGTTAGCAAGGTTTTCTTGGATGCATATAAAAATATTTGAATGAAGTATATACATACTTACATTCAAGCTCAAGATTTAGCATAAATATTCTTTTGAGGTTTCAGAAAGATAGCAGACAAAGTCACCACCCTAATCATGATTTGCCTCCCATGAAATTGACATCTTAGTGGATGATAAAAGGGGCAAGTTTTCTCACTATAATCATGTGTAGCATATTGTCCATTTGATGTTATAATTGAAATCCCTCATAATATTCTTTCAGAACTTGTAAAAAAATAGAAGAAATATAGATTGCCTTATTACAATTGTGCTCGAGATATTGATGTGAGCATTCTTTTAAGGTTGTGGCAAATGTTGCTCCCCATCTAAAAATATTTGAGAAAGATGATTGCCAATGAAGCTTCATTGAGATGCATATACGAATATTAGGTGGAATTGCTTGTTTGTCAACAATTATGCCCAATATGTTAACGTGAATTATTTTTCATTGATGAAGTCAAATTATTATGTGCCTAAATATGAATGATCGTAGAGAGAGATTAATATCTTAGATTTATATAAAGATCTACACATAGAGATAAAAAAAGTTGCTAAAGGCACTAGAATTTTAAGTATAAAATCTAAAATGGGAAATTATCATATTAGTCTTTATTATATGTTACAGATGATGGCCTTCCCTATGATTAAGGAAGGTGTTGATATAATATAGTAGGTATAAACTATATAAAACATATTTTATATTGAACATTGAAAGAGTCTTGTAGCATGGGACCTAGCTTCAATAGATTATTTATTGTTTTGTAGTCGTTCTCTTTGAGAAGAGACTAAAGAACAAAAATTTCAATATAAATCTTGGTGTTGATATTGGAAGTAACAACATGCTTCAACCTTATAATTGATGATGTGGAGAAATGCTATTGCTAACAAAAGAAACGATCATAGTCAAAGAATCATGATTGGATAAATAGTGGGTAGATGGCGATGATTAGACAATGGTTGATGGAGACATTGGGGTGATGGCTTGATAATGAATATCAGACAGCAATGGACTGACAATGAAAATCAAGTTGTGATCTACCTATGGCCGTGCAACGATGGTTCGATAGCGATGGTTGAACAATGGTCTAGTCGTGGAGCTCAAGTGGAGCACAATATAAAATTATATAAACATATTGAACTTTTCATGACATACTAAATTTTTTTGTCAAGATGACTATCAAATTCGTTAAATTTATATAGAGATGATTGTAGCATAAAATTTGATTACATTCATCTTAAAGCAAATTAAAAAAAATAAAATTTGTTATAATTGAAATTTGTCAAAATATTCCTACCCAATTTTTTCTTAAAAAAATGTTAGCCTTTTGATCATTTTAGCCTTATATAGAATGCTCTCCTTGTTAATGAGTAACCTTTATTTCATATCTCAAGTTATATTTAAAGCTTATCATTATCACAATTTCGTTTGGCAAGCATGCAAAACTGAGTTTAATAATCAAATATAGTAGAAAATGTTATAGTTGTAATTTCTTAAAAATAAAAATATTTATAATATTTCGAATAACTTTAAAAAAATATATTTTTCCCGTAAAAATTTTACACTCATCTTTACTAAAATATGCAATTGCCCAACCAAACCACTCAATCTGTCCTTAGCAAATAGTTTGCTTATTTTTATAGGTTCTATTAGTTATATTAAATTCAAATTACAAAAATTTTAAGGAAATTACATGCACACATTTTTTATTGATCATTGATATGTCATCAAAAAATTATCTTGATCGGGCACGAATCTCAATGCAAAATCAAGTTGGAAACTTCCGAAATTAAAATTGGGACCATCCGAACTCCGATTTCAGCAAACATATAGTCGAACTGAGCGTCTCAAGAATTCGAACCCAACAACACCAAATACAACCCAATCAGAGCCCAAACGGGTCCAAATCAAGAGTTAGAAGCGCTATTGGAAGGTTCAAACCATAATTTGGATTACCAAACGGTTTCTAAACATAACATGCTTATAGTCGAATCGAGCGACTCGACGAGACGACTCCAACGAGCCCAAGATCACTGAATTCCAACATGTTTAAGACATACAAATGTCCATCAAACGATCCATGATCAAGGGATTCAACATCGACCGTCCATCCAACCACTCCCCATTTACCCTTGATCTCTCACCAATTTACAGACTGTGCCACTCCATAAATCTATAAATAGACCACTCATTTCTCTTGAAAGAGGACCGAAGAAAAAAGAGAAGAAGGAAGAAGAGAAGGAAGAAGCTCCTCCTCGACCACCGCCTGAGCTCCCGCCGGACCACCACTTGAGGTTCTCACCTCCACCGGA